CACTGGTGATGAGACAAACCTAGTCTCGAAACGTTTGTGAAATTATTATTTAATAAATTAGTGCAAAAAAGTGTTGTTTGATGATATTTTTAAATTAATATTTATCTATCCACTCAAAATACATTTGTTCTCGTATATATATACATATATATATATATATATATATATATATATATATATATATATATATATATGTATATATATATATATATACTCGTATATACAGAGCATAAAGGTCCAATTTGACTTCAAGTAATTATGCTGTCTAAACTAAATTAATTACACAACAACACTTAACACGTATTAAACAAGCAACTATCAAACTATGTTCAGTTAAATTTTCAGTTAATTTCTAATTATTGAAATATATTTTTTTTGCTATTTTTCTAAAACATGTCATCTGTCCCTTTTTATCTTATAAGCTGGGTAAATATTACAGCTATTTGCCAAACAGATACAATGTTTTATTTTTAATTTTGAAGAAATTTGACAAAATAATAACTTAATTATTTAACCAATGCAATATAAATATTTCATGGACTCATTTTTTATGAAGCTTACACATTATATACCTTGATCTAGTATTTCGACAGAAATATTTATCAGAAGTGTTGGAATTACTATTTATTCAATTTATCTCTTATAAAATTGCATTTTTTAACTTGATTTACTTTTTTATAAACTATTTTTTATTTTTACACCTTTGCCTGCGTGAAGGTTCAGTTGGTACTTTTTACCCTTCTCACTTCTCACATGTAAAACCTTTTATAGAGGTTACATAAAAAAATGTTGAAACCACCAAAAAAACAATACACCTTAAGAAACAATTTAGTAGCGTATACATAAATATTGTATTAAGGTCTCGTAGACTAAAAAAACAACACTGCTCACAAGGAAGTAAAATGTTTTTGTTAGAGATTTTCAAACATTGTTGTTTATCTCCTGATAGCGACGTCGCGAAAATCAAAGTGATGACTGGTTATACACCTTATGCTCTTTACTTTCAAATATTGTTAATAAAAAATTCTAACTTTTGTTTTTGAGATGTCGGTGGTGGACCTTTTAGCCCTGCTCTACTCTAAAAAATATTCTTGTATTTTTGATAGATATCAACCCACAGCATATTGACTCATTTTAGTCGTTCAATAACTGATTTGCGAGAATAGTGCGAAGTATTCATTACAACGACTTAGTCCCGAGGAAAAAGAAATAGGATAGAATGGTCAAAAATAAGTGTTTGATTTTTCATAGTCACGCCATTGAGACTCATTACTTCTCAATACAAAGTTTGTTTACAAATCGAAAGTGTCGTCAATTTTCCGATATCATGAATCGGCAGTTTTTTCTTAAGTTCGAATGCGAGGTGGCTGATAGTGAATGTGGTTTATAATCGTGTCGTCGATTTTTGGTATCGCCGGAGCGATATAGTGCGAAGTATTCATTACAATAACTTAGCCCCAGGGACCAGGGAATTGGATAGAATGGTCAAAAATAAGTGTTTGATTTTTCGTAGTCACGCCATTGAGACTCATTACTTCTCAATACAAAGTTTGTTTACAAATCGATAAGTGTCGTCAATTTATCCGATATCATGAATCGGCAGTTTTTCTGAAGTTCGGGTGCGAGGTGCCTGATAGTGAACGTGGTTTATAATTGTGTCGTCGATTTTTGGTATCGCCGGAGCGGACGCATGCGCGCCACGCCCAAGGATCATCTCGCGGTGCTTTTCCATTGATTGCCGTCCGACGGCTCCCAGACGGGTGTACGCGCGAACGGGGTGCTTCAGCACGCGCTCGACACGGCACTGTCTCTTTTTTGTCTCGCTGCACATGTAGTGCGAATGAATGGAAAGTTGTACGCCGAGAAATTCCAGCGAAAACATGAAAAACGTTTCTAAAAGATATGTATGACGGAGCTGGCGGGCAGGTTTCAGATCTGTACCTTTTGGGTTAAATTTACTATGGCATAGGGGTTTACGGTATTGGAATTTGATTTTTGTTCAGATTTTTGGGTCAATACTAATGAATCAATCAATATTTTAACTTTATGTAGGATAAGTTATAGTAATCCACAAAAATCGAAAACGAAAATTTGTATTTATCTTTACGTTTCAAAGGTTTTTGTATATTTTGGCATCACTTGAAATTGAAAATGAATGTAGGTGCGGATACATATTTTCGACGACGAATTCTGGAACATGGATCAACCGATTTGAATAATTTAATTCGTATTGGTAGGAAGATCTGTTTATTATTTATTAGGCTCAGTCATTCGAAGATACGGGGCAAAAAGTGCAAAAAATGGTAATTCAATTCTTGAGAGAACAAAGCGTCCGATTTAAACATTTCAAAAGAGATTTTATTTGTATTGACAAAGCAAAAATCTGATGAAATTTTTGGGAAGGCAAGTCTAGCGGCTTCGGAGATCCAATAAAAAAAGTAAAAAAAAAATCCATTTGGCGGCCAAAATTGATCATTAGTTTTTCAGATATTTTATGGAGATTTTAATAATAATTACAAATTTTGTTTATATATTTACCATACCAATGTTTATCTGTTAGACTGCAATACGGCGCTTACGCGCTACTTTATTTCGTGTCTACGTAGCGCGATTGCTTTGAACAATAGTTCAAAATTTTCAAAAAAATTGAAAATTTTTAGTTTTCGGTACGGAAAGTTTCAGCAATTAGCTTCAAGGCACGATGACATGCGCCACTAGTTTAAATTTTATGAAAAGATGATAATAATAATTAAAATATCGAAATTACTTTCCGTACCGTAATTAAACATTCGAGGGGAAAAGTCAATAATCAATAAATATTGAATATGATTAATAACAGTTATTTTAGATGTTCTCAAATAATTATTATAAATACTGTAATCTACTGTAATACTCGTATTTTATTTACTATTCTTTTACAAAACATGTAAGTTAAAAAATCAGATATTAACTTATTTTATATATGTTTACAAGATGATTAAATAAACAAAATTTAATGAAACCGAGTAATTATCTCATATTTTATCATGCTTCAAAGGACCTTATCTTATCTTTCTAAAAATTATATAAACTGAATTGCAAAGTTCAACTTATTTATTTCAAGTATTTAAGTGAGCTTTAAAATTACAGATAGAAATTAAATTAAAATCCCAATCGTTTTCGATAATTTTTAAAAGATGATTTTAATTTGAAATTTTATAATTATTTTTTTTTGTCATACCTAAAAACTAATTATTTGTTCACCCTTCACTTTACATACACACACATACATACATTTTTTTTCAAAAACCCTTGAAATGTAAAGATATATAAAAAAATTAATTTTATCGCAATAACTATTACGGAAAATTAAAAAAAAAACTGTTAAATAATTTATTAAATTATATAAAAACTAAGGTTGCTAAAACTTTCTACTCTATAATTTTGATCGACTTCTCAATAAATGTTAGGGTAGGGCGGGGCACAAAGATTCATTTTCACTTTCAGTAATTATACTGTGAAAAAAACCCAGCTACACAATAAATAACGCTTATAAAACAAACAAAAGCGAGCTATTATAATAATAAATGGTAGTCTGCGCGAAGGCAGGTCCATGGTGTGAGAGCCACTACAACAAATGATTTCTTTGCCCTTCATCTCATTACCACTATTCCCATTTTTTTATTATGCTTCTTGATCATGTACTTCGGCTTTCAGTTCCCTGTATTTTCTCTTCTCGCGTAAGTCGTCTATGTTAGCTATTATATGTTCAGTAAATTATCATTTATTATTAGTAAAAAAAAATTTAATAACAGTTAGAACTTAAAAAAACATAAAATTAAATGTTAAAGTCTAATGATTTAGATATCAAGAAATCGATTTAAAATTGAAAATATAAATCATATCAGAATATGATCAACTTTTAGATTTCACTGATGATTCGTCAAATTATTCTAATTTATAATTCGATAGTAATGAATATTCCTTATTTTAATAATTTGATGTCTCTGATTTTGACATCTTTTTGACTGCTTTGTTTAATGTTTCCTTAATTACGAGAAAAACTACGTGACTGAATTACAAACAAAATTCAAGATTTCATTTCAATGTCAGTATACAATGAATATCTCTTGAATAATTTATTGTCTAGGGATAGATATAATTTGTTCATTACACGTGCACTCTGAACTCATCTCTTATAAAGCAATAAAATTAACATGCAATTAAACCAACATTGTTTATTATATTCAATTTAAAAAAATGATCGATTAACTATTTTATTAACTATTAATTACTTTTGATATTTTTTAAATATTTGCGATATTTTTGTTTAACACGATAATTGACAAAAATTCCAATTGTATTAAAAATAATATAATCAGTTGTGAATTGTATTAAAGTATTGTTCTTTAAATCTATCTTTACATACTTATACATATACACAATTTCTATAATCGCAATTTCAATAACTTACCCAACAAATGGTTAATTAAATTAATGGTTAATTTATTCCGAACCTATTTTATATGTCAAATTTACTTAAAGTTTTGCAGTACAAATTGTCAAAATTAATAAGAAATAAATAAATCAGGTAATAAAAGCACATAAAACGAATGAAATATGAAATTCAAAATTATGTTTTGTAAGCATTTCAGAATCCATGTGATTGTTTTGACTTTGTATTTAATACTACCAGCGTCGAAAACAGTCTGTTTTTATTGAGAATTTTAGTGAGAGAGATTTTTAATTTTATATTTCAAAGTTAAATAAAACACAAATTAATATATCAACAATTGATTTATCTCTATAATTATATAACCATTACATAAAAAACTTAAAGCTTTATTTATCTTGTATAATTATTTAACCATTACATAATAATATCTTAAAGCTAAAAACTTTTACAACAATTATATATATAATTTTTTATATTTATTAGCAATGCCGGGTGAGGCTTATTTTCACATAGAAACATATTGCTATTTATAAAGTGAAAATCGTAGTCACTGTTGCCTGACAACAGGCTGCTCTTAAAATAAATTAAATTAAAAATACGTTCAAGTATTCATTAGTTTTCTCATATAATAATGGCAAACTAGTTTCAAAAACCATTAGTTCTGGTTCCGTTTCTAATACTTCCAGAAAATACAGAAATGATTTCTTAATTGTTGGACGTGTGAATATTTTAAATTTAAGATTTAAAAAATCTAAGGTCTTTTTCATTTTTTCTTCGTGTCCTAACGAGTTATCCTGCAGAATGTTTATAGCCGCTTGGCGCTTTCCCACATCAAGCGATGCAAAACAGTCATCATATAAATTTGGTTTGCGGGATTCAAACATAACTTTATTCAATACTAATGAAGGAAATTTAACTGGTTTTGGTTTAGGTACATCTATTTCCTTTAAAGTTTGCAATAGCTGGGCCATGTTATAAGCCGATAATTGCTTAGCAGCCTTTTTAGTAGCAGCAGTTGCATCTCTCTCGAATGTCGCCACCTTGCACTTTATGGTAAATTGTTTCAAATGTGGAAGCCCCTCATCGGCGATCAAAACAAATTCAGGTGCCGGCAGGTTGCGATCATGGCATACATCCATTAGCTCTTTAATTGCTTCGTGTCGATCTGTTTTGGGTGACGTTTCTTGTGGAACAATAACATTTTTAGCCAGAGGACTGTTCAATTTCGAGGTCTGTTCAAGCATGGCTTTTGCGGCATCATGCTTAGCTTCCTTTTTATTTTTTCCTTTCCCTGTAGCTCGTAATCTTGATCCTTCCCAATTTATATATACCTCGAACATAAATTCAGTATCTAACACGCAGGTACGGTCCATGATTAAGTTAAATGTAGGCTCTCCAATATGATTGATTGAGCAGAATTCGTATAAAAGTGAGATTGGTGACTTGTTTTCCATTTTGATTGTTTACTAAAATAAACAACAATTATATTACTATCAAAATAATTAAACATGAATTTGTATTTTAATTATATACGGTTACATAAGTTTCGAGACTATGATTTACGAAAATATCACTTTTTATAAATATATAATATAATAAACAATTATTCAATTATTGAATAGATAATTGTACAAAAATTATAAACACGTTTACAAAAATACGAAATCAACAAACATGACGTGGTGGGAATGGCTCACTCAGTAGCGTTCTCGACACACACGCTGGAGGAATTCGGTTCGAATCTCCAGCAATACCAGAATTGAAATATAAAATATTAAATTACATTAAAATTGTTAATTTGTAGAATACAAGAAAAAAAATTATATTAGAAGTAAGAAGAAAAAAAAAGAAGTTTAGTATAGAAGATGAGAAGAACATATTGAGAAACAAGAAGAAGAATGAAAATCAGTTTAAAGAGAAATTGAATGGAAGATTAGGATATAAGAAGAGATAGTATATATGATTAGAAATATATATGTAAGAGTTGTATAGAATATGCTGAAAAAAAAATAATACGAATAATGTAGGTGGCTAAAAATGCTGTAAAGCGGAGGCCAATAATAATTAAAAAAAAAACGAATATGACAGAATTGTTATTGGAAGCAATTGGGTGGATTATACATGAGTAATTGCATATATTATGACATAAATACGCCCGACAATTACAAAATACAACAATAACTTTGTTGATATAATTCAATAACTGAGACAGTTATAACTTTAGTGTATTCCTCTGATATAATATTTGATTTAAAATGCATTTGTCATGTATATACTCTCAACTAAGTATAGGGAATTGTTTCACAAAACTCAAAATAATTACGGAATCATTAATTTTTTTTGTCGTCTTTAAAATGGACATTATATAAGTAATGAAAACATGCCAACAATTAATCAAATCGTCAAAGCACCTTATAAACAGAATCCCCTTCAGCTCTTTGGCAATTTTTCCTGAGTGCCATCTATCGACTCAAAGCGGTGTCTAATAAGTGGCAATTAAATTTGGGAAACTTTGAAACGTAGTCATATGCAAATATTTTCATTTTTAATTTTACTGGAAGTTTGGACAATATTATTTGAAAACAAAAATTTAGTAGTGTTTTCTGAATTAAGGCAAACGGTAAGGATTTGTTCTGATGACAACAGTTTGCTCCTTCGACGAGGACACGGGGTTCAATTATCAAAGATTTTTGACAAATCGGAAAATTGGATAAACGTGACAGAAATGCTCGGATTTACAACACTTATGAACTTCGTGGACAAATAATTGCAAAGTCCAACTAGGATCCTACTAACCCGCCAAAGGGTACTGAGAAACCTAGTTCACCAGTCTGAAGTAAAAATTACTAATGATCTCATTTAGAAACATTTTTTTCTTCACTTTTGTAATATTTTTCTTTGATTTTATATTACACTCCTATTAGATTCAGACTAAAGTGAAAATAACTAATGATCTCATTCTCAAGAAACATTTTTTCTTCACTTTTGTAATATTTTTATATTTTATATTATACTCTTAATTGATTCATCGCTGGAAGTATCTATTACAATCAAATTATAATGTTATCCCTTTTTCATATTGTTTACAATCTTGGATCATTGTTTTATCTAACATATTACATAATATAATTTAAAAAACAATACACACACACACATATATATATATATATATATATATATATATATATATATATATATATATATATATATATATTAAGGTGATATTAATTATGGGTTCTCTTCTTGACATGTAAAAACAAACACTTTTTAAAATTTATTAATTATATTTTGAATTATAACTTACATGATTGAGTGTTAATATTTTAATCTGTACTTTTTGGCGGTTCAAACATGACTAACCTCCGCTCAATAATAATCAGTTTTTACCTGATTCGATCCTTATTGTCGGATAAGGGTCGATTTATGAAAGTTTTATATAAATGGTACCAACTTACAAGATAAAATTACAAACTTATTTTAATGAAAATGTGATGAACATAAAATATTATAATAAATATATAATAGTTTTTAAAAATATATATAAACTAAATATACATAAATACTTATATTCAAACAAACATTTTTGTTTCCTGTTCGGAGCACAAACACAAGTTAACAACAAGCCCAGCATCATCAATCAAACTTATACATACATACACACATACATTTATATATATATATATATATATATATATATATATATATATATATATCATATAAACTCATATTATAAGCAAACTCACAGAGCACGTTGAGCCAAACTTGTATCTCTACAATTTACGATATTTGTGTTTGACTTGAATCATCATACTCAAATGCAGTTCGAATATTCGCAGATGATATTATACATACAAGAAGCATGAACACTTATCTTCAATTAAATACATATACCTACTTATATAGTTTCTGATATTCACGAACTCCGATAAGATATGACAATGGTTCATAATATTATTCGCACATAGAAATATATTGCGATTATTGAATATACATACAAATGTTTTTGTTCATTTATTTACTTCATATCTATGATGCCGCATATACTATGGTGATTAATTAAAAAATTAGTAAATAAATGTAATAGGTAATAACGTATTTCTAAAGTTTCTTTATAAAGCCACATTTTAGTTTTAGTAGTAGTAGTAATTTTTTTTTAATTATTATGATATTCAATTTCTTAATTAATTACCATGTACGCACTGAGCGTTATAATTCTTATGCATAACTTGTTCGAACAAGTATTTTGATCTTTCATTAAAGATTAATTTTCCAGATACATAATATATAGATATATATAGCTTCGATCAAAAAATCAAACTAGCTGTAAGTGGAATTCTGTCTTAAGGCAATTAAGCCATCGTGCCTTAAGGCAAATTGCTGGAACTTCCCGTACCAAAAATTATTATTTTTTTAAAAACGATTAACATTTTTGAAAAAAATTAACTTCAAAATAATAAGATTTTTGACAAACAATTAGACAAAAAATTACTTTTTTTTGAAAAAAAAAATTTTAATTTTGTTTTTTTAATATTTTTTTTTGAAAAAAAAATGTTTTCTTTATTTTGACATATTTTGAAAGATCTAAACTTTTTTTCAAACTGCATAAAGACGAAATATCAATCCGCGTAAGCGCCACGTCGACGTCTAACGCGTAAACATTGGTACGGAACCCATAGGAATGTAAACCAAAATTATACTTATTGTTAAAATTTCTATAAAATATCTGATAATTTGACGTGCATATGTCTAATGATCATTTTTGACCGCCAAATGGCATTTTTTTTACTTTTTTCATTAGATCTCCGAAACCGCTAGACCTGCCTTTATGAAAATTTGATCGGTTCTTCACCTTGTCAATGCAAGTAAAATGTTTATTGAATTATTAAAATCGGACGCTTCGTTCTCTTAAAAACTGAGTTACCGTTTTCGGCACTTTTTGCCCCGTATCTTCAGAACGGCTAGACCTGACTTCGCCAAAAACTAATCAGCACGTCTCCTTATCAATACGAATCGAATGTTTTTTGAATTATTCAAATCGATTGATCGGTGTTCCCGAAATCGTCGGCGAAAATTTGTATCCGCACATACATACACACACGCACACACACACACACACACACACACGCACACACACACACACACACACATACATCCATTTTTTCTAAGGTATGCCAAAATATTCAGAAACCTTTGAAACGTCGAGAAATGCAAAAAATTTCATTTTCGATTTTTTTGCGATTACTATAACTCGCCCTACGGGAAGTTAAAAATTAATAAAAACAAAAAAAGTTTTTTAAAAAACACATTCCTTCATTTATTTACTGTCGACGTTGCGGAACTAGACACGTTCCATCTTCAGGACATCTGTCAAGAACATGATCTTGATAAGATTTAAACAAACAATATATTTAGGAAAAGTAGATAATGATGGATTTTTATAAAATGAATAAAATTGTGGAAGAGATAACGTTATAAAAAATGTGACACAATAATCAGAAAAAATAATAAATTTTAGAAAATAAGAAAGTTTTAAAAAAGGTTAAGAAAAAACAAAAGAAATTACCTGTATGATTGATTATACATTAACACTTTTTCACTAAGAAGTATTTTATCAATAAAACGTGTATTTTTATTGACCTCTTTTCAGGCGAAGAACAAATTTTGCAATTTAAATTTATTATTTATGTCTTTTTTTGGAGTTTATGTGAGACAAAAAGTATTATTTTTTCGATATTATGGGATAACTATTTGTTACCCATCAAAACAATAATACGTTTCTTCTTTAACCTTTTTTAAAACTGTCTAATTTCCTAATATTTCTAATATTTCGAACACCCATAATAAAAGAAAAAAATAATTTCATCAGCAAAAAAAAATTGAGAATAAAAAAAATTATTTCTTACTCTAGATTACGTGATCATTCCATTCTTTTAATATCAGAAGAATTCAAAGAATTCCTTCAGTTCAACTACCAAATAATTAAATATATAATAATAGAAATTGATCGAGACAGGTAGACGAAGTAATCATAAAATAAAAAAATAGAAAATATTTTCATACCTGCCATGAATTAAAGGTGGAACAAATACGGTTACTGACACAAAAAGCAACTATTCTGTGGTCATTATTTCATCCCTATATAATATAATAAGATGACTAATATTAAAAGTCCGACTATATAAATTTGAGTTGTTTTATTTTCATATTAATCGTTACAAGTTGTATTTTTCACTCTAGACAAAATAAAAATAGATTTTTAAACCTTACATTAAAAACTGTGGGTACTTTGCTTGCACAGAAATGATTTCAACTGTGTTATTAATTTTAAAAACTAGCTGTAAGTGGAATTCTGTCTTAAGGCAATTAAGGCATCGTGCCTTAAGGCAAATTGCTGGAACTTCCCGTACCAAAAATTATTATTTTTTTAAAAACGATTAACATTTTTGAAAAAAAATTACTTTGAAAAAATAAGATTTTTGAGAAACTATAAATTGGACAAAAAATAACTTTTTAATAAAAAAAAAAATTAAAAAAAAAAAAAATTAAATTTTTTTTTTTTTGAAAAAAAATTTTTTTCTCTTTATTTTGACATATTGTGGAAGATCTGAACTTTTTTTCAAAGCAATCGTACTGCTTTATCTGCGTAGGGACAAAATACAAAGCGCGTAAGCGCCGCGTCGCTGTCTAACGCATAAGCATTCGTACGGAACCCATAGGAATGTTAACAAAATGTATACTTATTGTTAAAATCTCTATAAAATATCTGATAATTTGATGTGCATATGTCCAATGATCATTTTTGACCGCCAAATGGCTCATTTTTTTACTTTTTCCTCCATATTTCCGAAACCGCTAGACCTACCTTCATGAAAATTTTATCGATTCTTCATCTTGTCAATACAAGTAAAATGTTTTTCGAATTATTCAAATCGGACGCTCCGTTCTCTTAAAAACTGAGTTAGCGTTTTTGGCACTTTTTGCCCCGTATCTTCGGAACGGCTAGACCTGCCCTTGCCAAAAACTAATCAGCACGTCTCCTTATCAATACGAATCGAATGTTTTTTTAATTATTCAAATCGGTTGATCCGTGTTCCCGAAATCGTCGACGAAAATTTGTATCCGCACATACATACACACACGTACATACATACATACATACATACATACATACATACATACATACATACATACATACACACATACACACACACACACACACATACATCCATTTTTTCTAAGGTATGCCAAAATGTTCAGAAACCTTTGAAACGTAAAGATATATAAAAATTTTCATTTTCGATTTTTTTGCGATTACTATAACTTGCCCTACGGGAAGTTAAAAATCACTATTATTTTAATGCAATTTCGTGCTTCTTATGAACATTTTCGACTTTTGCAAATATGAGTTTGAGTAGGAACATATATTGTAACTGTGTTTGGTACTTGCAAGTATTTAATTTATTATTCATAAATATATAGACTATGATGATTATTACATAAATCAATGATTTAACTTTTGTAAATATATATCTTCTAAATTTTTTCAAACAGTTTTATCTGTAATATCTGTCAGATGTATAAAGAAGAAAATGTGTATTCCAGACAGACTCTACTTTTTGCACGTAAACAAATAACTACATACTTATTACCTTATAAACAGAGTATGTTCAGCTTCCAATAGTTAATTCAATTTCATTATTTAACTGTGGTATTTCATATCAACAATTATCTGTGTTATCATTAGTGGCATAGCAATTGCTTTAAATATTAAAAAAAATTGTGATAAATAATTTAATATTTCGGGCAATATGATATGTCCATTTATATTTGAATTAAATTTTAATTAATTTTTTTGTTTTCAAGAAATTTTTCTTCACTTTAATTTTGTGTTTAAATTGATGCAAAATGAATAGAATCATTTTAGAAATCATATTATCATGGTCTTGTCATTATAAAAGACTTGCAAATGAAAAAGCAATTAGTTTTGGTTCTATTATAAATTGTCGAATATAAATAAAAAACATTAATATTTAGAAGGTGATCGACCAGTATATAATATTAATTATATCCACAAACCCACAAAACTGTAGTTTAAGTATTTATGTATATATGTAAGAAAAATAAAAATAAACAAAAAAATAATAAAAAAATCAAATAAAAACATACATAATTCTACTAAAAAATATATTAGAATAATAAAAAACACTTTCCATGAAACAGTTGCTTAATGGAAATGCCATAGTGAATGTAAGGGTCGTATTAATGTATAATAAGCCATTTTATTAATGCTATTTCTTACCAGAAAATAAAAAAATAAAGCTTAAGTTCCAAAATGTTAATTTATTTACAATAACAACTCGATTCAACATTTTTATACGAATATTCGAAATACATTACATTTTTACAAAAATAATTTAGTTGTTTTACAAAAGGTAATTACATTACAACAATTAACTACAACAACATATTCCTACATAATGTAGTACATATAATGCAACATTAAGTAGATTAACATATTATATTATAAGGTGTAGTATAGCAAAACCAGTGTGGGAGTAGATTATAGAGTTTAGTAGGAGTGATGAGTAGAAACAGGAGGGATTTTTGGCAATTGAAATATATAGAGAAAGTAGTGTCATACCTTTTAATTCAGTTTAACATAAAATACGTCTATGATCACTCAAACAAATTCACACAACAACACAAATCTCTGCATTTTACATTGACTCGTACAACCGACTGATGTAAGACGAATCATAAATTTCATTGCACAGCAAACTGTATGTGTATGGCGCTATTTTTGAAACGCAAGCGGGGGATTTCCCGAAATGCTTCTTATAGAATGTAATTCGAAAGTACAGAAACAAAAGAGACGGTTATATTTCAGTTGATTCATTTCAGCGTTAGTTTTTTATCTGACAATGTTTATCTGTTTACAATACTAGTACCGAGAAATTGGACACGAGTTATATGATGTCATGGTGTCATATGGTTTAGTTTATATTGCATTTATAAATAAAAGGAAGGCTTTATTTTCAAGTTATTGTTATTTATTGTATTAATGTATTTTAGTAAAAGAAACGTATGATGAAGATTTTCTTCTATATTGACCTTTTTGAATGCGACGAATGGGCCGCAATTTGTCTCAAAATCTCAAAACCTCAAATATGTTTCAACGTGGACAAAATTATCAACATATGTATTATTATATATATATATATATATATATATATACATATATATATATATACATATATATATATACATATATATATATATATATATATATATATTTATTTACCAATATTTTAGAAAAATGTATATTATTACTGTCTAAAATTATAGAACAAAATGAAATATTAATTAATCGAAGTTAAATTAATTGAATACCATAGGTATGTACAAATAACATCATAAAAAATATACTATAAATAAACATTTATGGCAAAAATAATAATATTTATTTTAAAAAGAATTGTAGGCAGAAGAATGAAATAATGAGAAATATGTTAGTGCCAAACATTAAATATTTGCAAAAGAATCAAGTTTAATGCTGATACACATTGTTATTTAATCAACTGCAGTATTCCTAAAGATATCAACATAAAAAAGAATAAATAAAATATAGTCGGTGGATTTTAATAAAAGCCACAGCAAAGCGTGGCTAGGCATGCTAGTATATATATTATATATTGTTGGGCGCCGATTAGCTCTTTTCTTCATCAACCAATTTCGTTAGATGTATAGTAATATCATAATAAATTCAAATTAAACACAATATTATACATGTAACATTTATTTTCCCGTTCATTAATACTCTTAGATTCTATCGTCTATACGAAAATTACACAACTGCCAACATTAAGTTACATTTAGGCTTTATATAACCTTTTATTTAGAAGAGGGGCTTTACTCCTTTTAGGATATGATGAACTAAATTTTATTTATATGTGTGAGTGCAAATTATGTGATTCCCCGATCAAAAATCATAGGAATTACTGCGTCGTGTGCAGAGGATCACGTACGCATTGGGAAAAAGTTCATCGATCCTATTTTTGATTATAATACTTTTATTACTCGCTATGAATTAATACAATGTTAATACAATTCTTGGGATGAATACAATGTTGAGAAACTGAGAATCGGATATATGCGTAGCGTATATTATAATTAGTAATATATTAGTTATAGTTAAACCATTGGGTCGAAACATATATATATATATATATATATATATATATATATATATATATATATTTATAAGTGTATATATTTATAAGCTAGTTCATTGGAAGGTTTTGACCCAACGCTATATAAGTTAATATTAATAATTATTAAAGTAAAATATCCTATTCTGTTTCTTAACAATGTATCCATCCTAAGAATTGTCGTTACATTGTATTGAATCATATCGAGTAACAAAAGTAATAATAGGATCGATGAACTGTTCCTAATGAGTACGTGAACTTCTGCATACAACGCACTCATTTTTGGGAATTTCGATCCGAAAATCACATAATTTTCTCGCACGCATATAAATGATATTTAGTTTATTAAACATTCATAAAACAAACAAAGCCCCACTACTTAAAATGAAATAACAAAGTATTTTTTACATATTATTTGTTATCCGCAGGAAATCTGCCAAGAACCTTAAAAGATAAACAAATTACTTTTTTAAGCTTTAAGCAATTATATTGTGAAATCCAAACTACACAACAAATAACACATCAAACAAACGACTATCTGACTATGTTCAGTAAAACTTCTAGCTAATTCATTTTTGTAAAAATGTTTTTTTTACTGTTTTTCCAAAATTTGTCACCTGGTCTAATCAGTATATAAAATATCAGATATAATTCGAATAGTTCATCGGTACAATTATTAACTAGAATATTACTAATCTGCTAGTTTATTTCACACATTCAGATTTATAAACAATTTGAATAGTTTGAAATTTATAGCAAAACTTTACAGGAGTGTAATAACAAGACTTCAGAATAATATTTCACGGAGCGTAAAGTACAAGTTAGTTCTTGTACTTCTTTAATAGGATATTGCAAGAACAATAGATATAACAAAATTAATTAAAATTCACAATATATTTCAAGTATAAAATTTTGCTACATTTTGGTACCCCTTGTTTTCATTCTGAAACCTTCTATTGCAAATTAATTGATTATTACTAAATACTACGCATAATATTGTTATTCATATAACATTTATTGCTTGATTTAATCTTACACGTTTATTTAGGGAAAAACTAAGAATTTTCCGGAAATTGTGCGAAAAATCTATTTTTAATTTTTCTCGCTGAATATTTTCTCCTCGGGCGAATTTCAGCAGCATGTGAATAAAAATAGATTGTTGATATTAAAAGGTTCCATCATGAAAATGGTAACACCTTTGCACGATATTCTTCTATAAACTTATCGTTAGTTCGTTTTCACAATATACTTGTGTTGTTTGAAAATATAAAGATCGTAGTATAAAGTAATAGTATTTCAAAATTTATTATTATAATCATATTAGCAGTATTTTAAAATATAAAAATTGTGGTTTTAAAATATTTTATACCTTTTGATGCTGTAAATACATAAGCTTTGTGTGTAAATATACCATAATTATGAGTAAGCAAAAATAGACGAAAAAGTAACAAATGTTCAAATACACAGGTCGTCTCACAATTCAAAGTCAAGCTGAAAAGGTGTAATAGTTTTGATTGTAACTGTCATGGCAAAAATTAAAAAAAAATCGTTTACTTTTTCAAAAAAACGTAGTTTGAAAATCTTGAGTAAAACTGTGACCATTTCTCGTTTATTTTGATTAATTTCCAGTAATTTTGTTTATTAAACTTTGGATCCGTTATCGTAAATAACATTTCTAAAAGCACAGTCAAAAATAATGACAATTACTGCTGACAAGTTTTTTAGAATTAAGACAATTTGTTAAACCATCAATTTGAAACATTCAAAATTTGTCGACTTTGAAAAGACCGCCTTTAAAAATATTTACTGAAATGGGTTGTAAAGTTTTGTGAAATAAAACTATCAAGCAATAAAAATAAAACTATAAAATAATTTGAGTAAAGAAATCACAATCTAAAAAGAACATGATCTCACTAAAACTTTAGATTACATTTAAAAGCTTAGTTTTCAAACTACATACAAAAAGTTTTCTAATTTTTTTGAGAATATTACAATAGTTTAACAACGTTTCAAATTAACGTTGAGTTCTGGGACACTGTATACTAATTGCTATGAGAACTCTTCGTTATGGTAAATTTTTGTTTTTTTTTACATTGTGTTTACTAAATTTAACTCCCATTTAAAAAAATATTAGAATTTTTTCATATTAGAGATTTCTAGTGCCATTGAATTTTCTCAAGTCAACATTATTCTACAAAGCTTTAAATTTGTTTCAGTACATTTTATAGCTTATAGCATATTATATCCAGCTAAACTATTCTGAGTCTGTAATAAGATGGGTATGTTTCGCCAAGTCTTTCAATATTGCTCCAACGGTTTTAGGGGAGAATAAGTGGCGCTATTTATCAAAAATGCCTCGAATTATTAATGCTCGTCTTCTAACTGATATATTGAAACTAACTTTTATTTTAGTAAATAAAGTTTTGTACGAAACAACCGGCAAAATGTTTCGAAATAGGTTCCTTGTATTAAATCAATAACTATTTAAGTAAACATCAAATCAATAAATAGAATTTCAATTGCCAATGATAAGGTGGCGGTTAAATTAATTGGCTTTCGAATTATATTATTACTTTGAATTATTAAATTTTTGAAGAAAAAGTTTATGATTTTGCCAGAAAATCCGATTATCTAATGTTATGTTTTCTCGACGTCTCAGGTGATTCTGAATCGTTGATACCAAATTTGAAAAACGTATATATTTTTTTTTGTTATACTTTTTTTGTTAAAAAGACGTATATATGAGTCAATTTTTGAATCATTTGATGAAACTAGATATGGTCTAGCGTTGATTTAGTTTTGCAAGATGTTCTTCCAATGAGTTTCTTTAGAACTTTTTCAACGCTTTCACAAAAAATCCATCTTGAAATTTTGAAATCCATTCGAAGGATATCAGTTGAAATTATATTGTTTATTTTTTATGAAAACGATGAATTTTATTTTCGAAATAAAGAGTTAAGCATTTTACCAAAATAGTTGATTTTTTTCCTTATTGCTTAAGTTGATTATTTACACCTATCGGGAAGTTTAGGCAAATTACCTTTGCAAAATGCCACTTACAGTTAGTTAGAAAATATATTTCATTTATCATTACCTAAAACTTCTTTGTTCAATTTATTAATAATATATATAAATAATGTACTTGCAAATTGATATAGTTTCAAATCACTAGTTGCGATGGAAACCCATTATTTCTTTTGAATTGTTGACGTAGTTTGTATGTTTGAATAATACAAAACCGTTTTGATGCATTTATATTTGTTTTACATTCATATTATAAAGTTGTATGTAAAATAAATACATTTTTGTCGTATTCCAGAATCCGGAATAAATGCAAATTATATTTATGCGTTGCGAACTTTTAGCACGTTTCGATGTATAACTCTGTATTGTACACTTTTAACAATGAGTTGCTACGAGTGTTCGGATTATCATTCAATAAAAATTTATTCCTGAATAATACTATACACACAGTTTGGATAATGAGATATGGCATACATTAAGGAATCTGTCACAATCA